CCCCCCCCCCCCCCCCCCCAAGTTAGCCAGACTTATTTGAAAGACAAAACAAAGATGGATGTTTAAAAAACGATTACGCTACGTATTTGTGCACGTACGCAGTTTTCCATTTCAGGGAGGGATGATTACCAACAATTAGGAAGTTCTCACTTCTGGCTTAAGTGTTGGCTGTGTGATCGTCTGACTGCTCGCTTTCTTTCCCTATTGGACTTTAGTAGCGATGTCGCCATGTTTCCAGACCTCAGCAATTACTTTGGTGGGTACAATGCTATCAGAAAGATAGGCATGGAGCTGGGCGATGTAGCCAAATTCTTCGTTCACGCTATAGGTCATTTAATTTCATGCAAACGACAAATACCACGGTATAGCATGTTTTCTGATAATTTGATAAATAAATAACCTTTTTTTAATTGTCTTTGCTCCCGCGAGAATTAAATACTTGACAAGTGAAAAGTGTGTCCTCGTTTTATTAAGAACTTTAGTGCAAACACTACAGTTTCAGGTGAAATTATAGGGAAAAAAACACAGAGTAGGCCTAATCAGATTAAGAAAACAGTTTATTTTACCTCCACTTTGGTACTCCCATGAGCAGCCTTCTTGTCAATCTTATCAAGATTTTTTAGTTAGCATGTGCTAGCTATTATCAATGTCGACGACGTCATTTTAAATGACGATATCTCAACGTACGATTTCATCAGTAGTTGTAAAGAGTGCAGTGTTTTGCATTATCAAGTCTGTAAGTGAACAGGTTTATTTAATCGGAGACCTGTCTCTTTGTCTCTCTCTCTTTCTGTCTGTGTCTGTCTCCCTGCACACTGAACACTTCAGTGGGGCACGTGACACTTTGGAGGAAGGAGGGGACCAGGCACATGGACTGGACGCAGGCGAACAAACACACTCACACATCGCCTCTCCCAGATTACTTGAACTATCAGAAGCTTTAAGAGGATTTCACAATAGGGAGGGTGTTGCACTTGTATCTCATGCACCTGATGGCTATTGATCCACCCTAAGCTTGCACACAGACACATGCCAAACAGCCACGGTTGTTACTTCTTGTTTTTGTAAACAAGCCTCTGACCTTGCTTCTTCATTTTACAGTGTTTAGAGGTGCGGGAGCCTTCTCCTTTGAAATCAAATCTACGGTTCAATACTTTGAAACACAGCCCCGATGGATCTGGATCACAAGGATTGAATTGTTGGACAGAAAGCATTTAAACAGTAATCCACACTGTATAGAAGAGGAGTAAATACACTAAGAAAAAGAAACTCCTGAGTCACTTTCTTTACACAATCCCATTTCCATCATAGTGTGCAGTTAAAATAAATGGGTCCACAAGCAGTATACTCCAGCTGTTGGGCTTATTAGCATTGCTGATGTGAGTGGAAGATTAGAGGGGCGGTGTTGTCTGTAAAGGAGGAGACGCTGATCGAGTCCCTCAGATGTGTAGGTTGATAAGCGAAAGGTTGCAATCAGCAAGCTGTCATGTGAGAAAATGGGATATCATGTTTACTGTTTAGGGAAAGGAAGGTGCTGCATCAGGATTACATTAGATGGAAATACTTTGTTATTTCTAACAATCCTTACCAAGCAAACCCTGTTTGATTTATATTTACATTTTGCATATAGCCCCCCCCCCCCTCAAAAGGAAGGAGGTGTTGATTCAAGATGGTGAAGCAAATATTGTTCTTTTACTGAGGCTACTTCAAACATTGTGTTGTATTTCACACAGAATTTGCCTCCAGATCTCTTTACTTTAACCTCTCACATATAATATTAGAAGGCAACATTGCTAAATATTTAGGAGGGAAAAGACATCCGAGATAAACCATATTTTTGCACATTCCATAAATCATCCCTTGACCTCGAAAATAATGTCTTAGTCCACTGTGTGGGGACGAGTGCATTGATACCAAAAATCGAGATTAATTTAGGAAACAATGTCGACCAAAAAAAAAAAAAAAAAAAAGGCTCACGCTGCATATCTCCAGTTATGATGGATGCTGTTGTTTATTTCTATACACAAAGCAAACTAGTGATACGGTCTGTTAAAAGGTGCCAAATTAAAAATTCTGAGTATATCAATTCCGCGCGGCTCTCTATGGTGACAGCAGAGCCAGCGTCTAGAAGCTAACGGCGCTAAAAGCGCTAACAGTGCAAACAATGGAAACAGCCCTGAGCGGGAAGCGGAGGGTGGGCGCTACTATTTCGGGACAGCGTTATCAGCGGTAACCGCCATGTGAGCGCAATGCAGAGCGGAAGCACATGAGCTAACCAGTGGGACACGCTCACATGCACTAGCATTATGCTAAAAGACACGCAAGGCCATGCAAACAAATCAAGGAGAAGGTCGGATAACAACACACATTAGCTTTTTGCTGCTATATTGAGAACCTTTAGTGTCATAAACAACTGGTTTAAGCAATAATTACAAACAGCGGAACTCCGTTAGATCAGGCTTTTCTTGTGTGACATTTTTAGAATATACGGTCCAAACCTGTCCAGTGACCTTGTTGACACACAGACACATTATGTTTGAATCACGGATTCTGGTGTTACACAGCTTTTGCATTTATCTGCTGGAACTGTAGACTGGTTTTATAGAAGGGGACAAATCATTATTGTGCTGAATGAAGTATAAGCTCGTGGATTTTTTTCCCCCGAGTCCAGTTGTGATTTGGTTATTATGTGTGCATTATGTTTTCAGCCCGGACAAATGGAGTTCTGCAGGCCCTTGCTCAAGGCTGGAATGCTGGAATAAATAAAGCTCTCATTCCTCATATAGAGTTCTCCATCTTTTCTCATCCTTCCAACATAGAGCCGTTTCTCTGAGGAAACCAGGAGCAGCACACCTGACTGACAATCGTGAAAGGGAAAAAAAAAGGTGTTCTGTTTCTTAGCACGTTTTAATTAAGGCTGACATTAGCTAATTCACAGCATGCATTGCCCGTCCCTCTTGGGTCTGGCTTGGCTGTTTCATTTGCTGGTGTTGAGCCAATGTGTCTGTGATTATAAGACCAGCAATGCCTCAACCGCATCTGGACACTGGTGGGACTTGCCTTCTGCTGGGCTGTTATTACAGATGATCGCTTGATAACAGCGAGTGTAAAGCAGTATTTAGACGGAGGCAGCAGCTCTGAAGAATATTTTTGAGAAGCTCTGCTTTTTATCCCATTGTCACCCCCCCCCTCTTGGACCAAAGCAATGCTCTGTGTGTGTGTGGGTGTGAGCAATCCGCTTCCAGATACAGAAACCTCCCGCTGGTTGGAGAATTAAGCTGTGTGAATCTCTTTTCGAGAGGGAAGGAGACATCTCTCACTGCTCAACCGACAAGAGAAGCCACATTTGAGAGTCGACAAAAAGGCCCCAACACGAGACACATTTGGTAGCAAGCAAAGATCCTTTATGTGCTATAGATCAGCTTTTTGGAAAGAAGCTATGCAACTGACATGTGGCGGAGAAGAATTTAATTGCTCCAGAGAGCTCAAGCTGTTGAGTCATCAAGCTGTTATTCAAATAACGATTTTGCGATGTAAATATGTCAGATACATAATCATCTGTTTTAACACCTCTTCGGATGCTCAGCTGTTTCATGTCTTTCAGTCTGAGAGGTTTTTTTTGTGTAATGAAAGAGCAAGAGACAGAAATAGAAAGTCAGACGCAGAGGAGGTAGGAGACGTTGTTTTTAGCAGAGAGGTACGCAGCAGGGGAGGCAGGCCGCCGTCTTCTTGTCCGGCGCCCTTGGAGTGCAGCGCTGTGGTGCGAAACTCCCACAAGACCTCTCTTTGTTCTCAAGATGAGGGCTGGCAGAGTGTGACCGCGCGCTTACACCTGAAGCCATCAAAAGCGAAACGAATGATCCCCCCCCTCTCGGCCCCCCCCCCACCGCCCCACCCCCCCCACCCCC